CGAAACGTTTGCAACCAAACCCACCAGCTTGGCAAGCATGTCTACAACCTCATGGCTTAATGTGTGTTACCTTTTCAAACTTCTTCTGAAAACCCACTCCTTTCCCCTTTATCCATCCTGCTTGTTACTGCCTCCCCTGCTTTAGCCACTTGATTATTTAGTATTTTTGGAATGCTATTAATATCCTTTGCTGTGAAGACTGCTGTAAAGTGTTTATTCAACTCCTCCACCATTTCCTGATATCCCATTCTTATTTCCTCAATCACGTTCCTGAAGGGGCCCATGTTAATTTTCATCTCTCACTTCCTTCTTCGACAGTTAAAAAAGAATTTACTGTCCACTTCTATATTACTTGCTATTTTGCCCTTACAGTTTATCTTGTCTCTCTTTTTTTTTGTTATCTTTAGATGAATTTTAAAACTTTCCCAATCCTCTGGTTTACCATTAGTCTTTGTGGCACTGTATGCTTTTCCCATAAAACTTTCTTGGTTAAGCATGGCCAGTTTATATCCTTCCTAAAGTCCTTCTTTCTCACTACAACGAATCTTTGCTATGAGTCATGAACTACTTCTCTTTCGTATGTACAAATGCCATTGATTGGCAGTACGGCATGCTTAAAGCAATGTGACTACAATCGATAGCACCCCTGTACCCAGAGGTAGCCAGGAATAGTAGTGTCCTAATTCCCTAGCTTTTCACCTAGTTTGCAGTGGCAAAGAGGCAGGTTCTGGCCAAATAGGAACATCAGGTTTCACTTTTAAGCTTCTTGTTGCAATAAGACCTGTTCAGCATATATAACAAGATAGCAATTAGCACATAGAACATAATGTTTATGATTGAAGCCATAATGTGTCATCTGCATGCTTTAACAACTGCTACCTCCAGTTGATGAGAATTGAAGTCATATGGGTTGCATTACTTAATACAATGAAAGCATGATTACTGCATTTGCACCTTGCAGGACCTCAAGAAGAATGTTGCAAACTCCACTCCTATATAAAAAATTAATTTACTCCTTTCACCTTGCTTGCCATTTTGTAAACTTACTGTGCAATTGATGTTGGTTTCAATATTGTGATTGTGAGAGTGACTTGTAACATCCGCCTGTTACTCATGAATATCTCCTCATTTTTCACATTCTCTTTTGTGTTCCTATCTCTGCGGTCTAATGGCCATTTAGCTTCTGGTTCTGATGAAGGGTCACCAGACCCGAAATGTTAACTCTGATTTTTTTTCACAGATGCTGCCAGACCTGCTGGGCTTTTCCAACAACTTTATTTTTGTTCCTTTTTGGTTCAGGCCCTTTTATATTGGTATTAATGAACCCACTTTACACCCAGAACTCATGATTCTGGAGGTTCTTATACCACTGCTGGCCCTACATCATCCCCATAGACAAGTCAGAATAGCTGTGACCTGCTTAAAATCCCACTGCAAGAGCTCCCAGTCTTATCTGATGAACTAGTAGGACCCACTCTACTATCTTCCATTGTTCCGCACCACAGCTACCATTGCCTCAGCAAGCTAGTACCCAAAATGAACTTTGCACAATCCCCCAGACTGAATGAATCTGATTTTGATGACTGAGTATGGCCCAGTCCTTGGGCTAAAAGGACACACAGATTCCTGGACTGGCCAAGGGTCATATGTCTGATTGACTGCAGCCAACACCTGGACTAGAATAGGACCAAACCTTTGACTGATTGTGGCAGTCCACTCTCACCTCACTAAACAGGTATCCCTTTGACTTTCACATATTACTACTCTCTTTAAGTACATTCAGTGTTTTTGCCACATAAGCTGCATGTTACAGCTCTGACATTACCACAGCACCATGCTATAGTGAGACATGTTCACCCTTCTCATGACGGACATACTTAGACTTCAGTGCTCCCCACTACTATGACATGTCTGCCTCATTAGGCACTAAAAATGCATGCCTGACAATAGAGGCTGCCTGCCTATAGCTCAGCACTATAGACTGTGTGCTTAACATACAGGCCAAGATTCACAGAATTACTGTGCAGAAGCAGGACATTCAACTAACTGTATATGACTGGTTCTCCGAGCAGTTTAAGGCAATCCACTATCTACAAGCTACAAGTCATGGGTTTTATGAATTCTTTCCACTTGTCTGGATGAGTGCAGCTCCAACAACACTCAAGAAGCTTGACACTACTTTTTTTTATTCATTAATGGGATGAGGGCATTGCTGGCTAGGCAGCATTTATTGCCCATCCCTAATTGTCCAGATCAACCACATTGCTGTGGGTCTGGAGACACATGTAGGCCAGACCAGGTAAGGACAGCAGTTTCCCTCCCTAAAGGACATTACTGAACCAAATGGGTTTTTCCCGACATTCGACTATAGATTCATGGTCATCATTAGATTGTTAATTCCAGACATTTTATTTAATTCAAATTCTACCATCTGCCGTGGCGGGATTCGAGCCTGGGTCCCCAGAACGTTATCTGGGTCTCTGGATTAACAGTCCAACGATAATACCACTCGGCCATCGTCTCCCCTAAAGGGCTATTCAAGACTTAGCCACTCGCTTGACTGGCACCACATCTACAAACCCCCACTCCTTCCACCACTGATGCTTAGTAGCAGCACTGCACACTATGTACAAGATGTACAGCAGAAATTCAGAAATATTCCCGAGACAGCATCTTCTAAATTCATAACCATTCCATCTAGAAGGACAAGGGCAGTGAATACATGAGAAGACCACCACTGCCCCTTCAAGTTACTCACAATACTGACTTAGAAATATTTGGAACTTATGTTTGGAATATTTGAAAACCATTGCTTCAGTGTTGCTGAGTCAAAATCTTGGAACTGTCTCCCTAACCCTAGGGTGTCCCTACACCAAATGGACTGCAGCAGTTTAAGAAGGTAGCTCACCACAACGTTCTCAACAGCAATCAGATATGTCCAATAAATGCTGGCCTAGCCAGCATCATCCACAGTCCATATGTGAACTTTTTTAAAAACCTGTAGAGGGGAGGGGACAAAGTTCTGCTCAAAATATGCAAAGTCCTGACTAACCTGTACTGTGGGTTCTTTACACAGTTCTTGAAACCATACCCTAGAAAAGATCTCTGACATTAGAAAATAAACAGCATAGATTCACCAGTATGTTCCCACGAATCCAAAAGTTAGATCACTAAAAGAGACTCGGCTTGTATTCTCAGGAATTTAAAGTTCATTAAAGATGCATAGAAGGAATTATGTCTCCTGATGTATGGTCACTTCCAAACATCCTCTCAAATGTATAACAAAGGAACACAGAGATTTATTTAGAACTATATCATATAACAAAGTTTGTCAAGTTTGTCAAATAACAAATTTCTGTGCAAGTATATTTTAAAACAATAACATTTTATTATCAATAAGTATAGTGGTACTTGGCTGTGCTGTGGCATATTGAGCTTCTTGGAACTGAAGTAGCTCTTGTATCAAAACTTCTGAAGTTCAGAATGAATGTTCAGTGGGCTGTACAACTATTGTAGGTACATGGGCAGTACTGTCTTTTAATTCCACATTTGTAAGGAGGCATCTAAAATGTTGGCTAAAAACTTTAGTTGTCACAAGGAGATAATAAAGCAAAGACATTTTCTAGGCTCACTGATTGTCACTTTGAGAGCTTTCAGAACTCAAGACTTCATTGCAGCCTCAGACTCAAAATGGATAGAAGCTGGTTTCAAATCATGAGAATGAGTCCTTGACATCAACGCCCTTGACCTGTGCAGTACTATGGAGCCCGAGTGATACTGAAGTCAATGGGGATCAGTAAAGAACTCTCTGCTGGCTGGACTTATACTACCAATGCCGATTGTTGCAAATAATGGAGGCCAGTCATCTCAGCCACAAGACGTCACACCAAAATTTCATAAGGGTATCATCTTACACCCAATCTTAGACTCAACAATCTCCATCAAATACCTTTCTCATCAAAACATACATATGGGATATTTGCTGATGACTTTACAGTTCAGTTCAGTACCATTCACAGTTCCTCAGAATACAAAGATTCTGCATTACATCAGGACTTAAACAACACCAGGCTTGTGCAATAAATGGCAAGTGAACTTTGAGCATACAAGTGTCAGGCAATGCCCATCTTCATTTTCCACCAGCTGGAATTTCCAAATATAAATCTCATGCCAGCATTAATGACGCTAAATCCGTACAACCAGATAATTATTAAAAACTGAAAATTATAAGAAAGGTACAAAAATTCCAGAAACCAATTTACTTCATAAAACAATAACTTATCTAATTAATATTTTCAGAGATGTAGTCTCTAAAGATGGTGCTACAATTTTCCTTTACATTTTATAGCATTCCTGCCAACAGCTAATAATACTTTAAAGTAAACAGTGCAGAATTTATTTAAATATTTATCGCAGTTTGATTAGCATCAGTACTTCAGTTGTTCCCTATAACTCTAAACAACAAAATTGCCCATCTTGGACATTAATTAGATCATACAGGTATATATGTAATACACTAATGATCTCTGCTTTTGTTTCTGCAAGACTAAAACCAAAGATCTTTGAGGGAGCTTGCAATTTTACATATGGATATAGAGGTTTATATGAGAAGCTTGTGCCATGCACACAAATTGCAGTTGCATTAGGTATTAAACATTAAACAGACTGTTAGAAGCCACTTATGAAAAGGTGAGTTTCAAAAGACATTTTGCAGAGACAGGAGGAGTATTCCTGCCTGCTGACAGCCTATTTCTTGCTCATTTCCCTAGATCCATATTCTCTCTTCATAATAGCAAATTTCATGTAACTGTCGATTGAATTTCTGTCATTCCAAAACTAGCAAAGTATGTTTGTCACCTGCAGTTCAACTGAAAAAACTGGAATGAGACCAGTATCTGAAAATGGGCTTGCTCTGCACTGACACTGAAAATCCTTTCTCAACTCAAACTGTCAGTACTTTTTTTGGTGAAAATTATTCAATTACAGATAATGTTACTTACCAGCTCACTGCCAGCTCATGTACTTTCAGTGTCTTTGTTAGTTTGCATCCACCTGATCTAAGTAAATTACTGGGACAGCCTTTCATCTGAGCAAGATACGGGTTCACTCGTGTGTCGACTGGAAATTCAGAATCCTACCAAAAATAAGGGAAGAAAATCATTTTCTGATTCTTCAGAATATTGGTCAGACAGATCCATTAATTATTTATTTAGTCCTTATAGAAAATCATACTTAAAAGTAATTGCTGAAAATTGTGATGTGAATAGTTAACCTTTAACAGTACATAACTAAAAACAAGATTTTCACAATTCTCTATGGCTACAAATGTACATATAATTTTATTGAATGTAGCCCTGAGAACTGCTGACTCACTTTTGCACTTTCATTTAAAAATCACTATATCAATTTCTGATTTGTCAACAGTACACTACTAATAGCAGTCAAAAGCAAAGGTTAGACTGTTGACGTTAACTTGCATCAACGTAAAGAAAAATGACTGGCCATAGAACTATCTGTTCATCATACAGTCCTCCAGAAATACAAACAAATCAAAGTTTATTCATCCATTGACTTTTTGACCACATGTCCAGCATTGTCCTTGTTTTCTATTCCGAACGTCCAGAATGCTTTCATTTTTGCAATGAAACATGTAAAAATCCTACAATATAGCTCGGAGTATAGAAGAAAATGAATCTGCAAACGGATTTCAATGATCCTACATTTTTAAAATTGTAGATAGTTAATTGTAAATAAAAATATCATGTGCTCTTTCTCCTATGACATAATTCTTCTGTACACACTTTGTCCAATGTCCTGGATGTATCCTACAATGAAAGACACGTGAGAAAGAAATTCAACTTGCACTGAAAACAAATGAAAAATATTTATAGCAGACAATACATGCACTGCACGATGTTGATCAGAGGTACTAGCGAAATTGGCGCACTTGGCTAAAATGAATTAGCTTTTTCAGCTGCCAATGCACACACCGTCAAAATTATTCCACCCCAATATGCACAATCTCTCTCCAGATGCACAACCAGTCAAGTGGAGAGTATTCCACCATGCTCCTGACTTGCACGTTGTTGATGTGGAACAAACACTAGGGACACAAGAAGTGAGTTAATTCCTACAGAATTCTTCATCTCTGACCTGCTCTTGTAACAACCTATTTATTTATTTAATCCTTAATATTAACTTCTATTTCTCAAGACTGAAAACTCAGAGCATCTCTAAAAATACCTACACATCAACTTTGAGATGCCTGTTAATTTGCACAATTGCTAAGATCAGGCAGTGAAGTATGAAGTGAATTGGTCATTTGGAAAGTCAGTACAGATCTGATGGGCCAAGAAATCCCTTTCAGTGCCATAACAATTCTGCAAACTGTGAAGATGTTTTGAGAACTGACTGCACAATTCAGCAGAGATCCAAATTCAGGCAAGGCTAAAATCAGTTAAAGCCAGCCCACACTATATAAAGCTAGCATTCAATCTCACTAATGAGTCTACTCAATAAAGAAAATATAAGAAGAGGAAGAGTGAATTATGATGCAACAGATGAAAGATATGTGAAAAAGAAATTCAACTTCCACCAAGGTTTGCTCCACAGTTTTCTGATTCAGATGCTGGATGCAAATTTGGGGACACAGGTACTGGATCATCAGCTCGCTGGAGAGCATGGTCACATTATAAGTTCTATTATAGAGGACTCAAACGATCATATCTGTGGGATGACTGAGAGAAAAAGTATGATGAATATGAACAATGCCCAGTGGATTTGCAGGCCTGCCACCTGTCACGTCATGAAAATACCAAGGAGCACGGAGGAGACTGGGATAAACTTGGCACAGGGTTTCGTGCTTCGAGTTCATCCTTCCCCGCATGACGTGGTGGCTGAATCTATAAGTACACTTGTGGGTCCAACCATAGTGTCTGATGGTTAATGACTCAATTTCCTTTGTAACACAAGCAAAAGTCAATCAACAGCTAAATGCTGCAGTAGAAGCTCTGAATTCTACATTGCAAGATTAGTACCCCTGAAGATCAGATTTCTGACGTGTAAGCTAACCTTGCTGTCACGTAAACTCAGGCTACTGCTGCCGGAGAGGAGATGGTACAGTTTACAACCAGGCTTTTGAGAGCCTCAGTTGCTCAAGGTCATCCTGCAATCAGATAACGGAACATGGAACGTCTAAGCAAATGCATAAGGGACTAATTGATACCTGACTGGGGTAGGGCATTATTTGATTGATAAAGGTGCTTTGGAATGTTTATTTTGTGGAGGCTAAGATTCTTTCATTGTAACTGAGCAGACAGTGTGTTCATCTGTAACATGGGAATGGTAAGGTATGGGACTGTTGGCAAACAGGGAATGATAATACATTTATAGGTAAGATATTTGAAAGGGGCAATTTTGAACAGAAAAAGAGGCTTTATTAGTTCCTCTGTTCTTTTTCTTCCTTCTCCTCTCTTTGGATAGCCATTGTATATAAAATGGCAACAGATTTTTCCACATGATGGCAAATTGTACATTGGAAGTAAACTACAAAGTTCAGTGCATGCACTATTGAATGCTGCTGGCCAGTTCTATGCACACTACACACATGTGTGCGCTGCACCGTGGAACCATTTGCCATGCTGTCAAAGGACAGTCTTTGTCATCCAGTAGAAAAGCTCTGACTTGCTATGGTGATTGAAAAGATGATGACACAGTGGACTGTTACAGAATGAAGCTGCTATGACTGCTGAGGTTGTTGACTTGTCACCGAGCTGGCTTGTTTTTGTCCAGACGTTTCGTCACCATGCTAGGTTGACATCATCAGTGAAGCAAAGTTATTCTACTCTACTTGGAATTTATACTGTCTGGTCCATTATGGTGAGTAGTGTCATTTCCGGTTTTGATCTGTATGGGTTTGAATATGTTTGTTGATTGCATTACAGGTAGAGAACCATGCCTCTAGGAATTCCAGTGCATGTCTACGTTTGGCTTGGGCTACTATGGTTACCTTGTCCCAGTTAAACTGATGGCCTTCATTGTCTGAGTGTACTGATATTAAGGAGAGTTTGTCATGTCGTTTTGCTGCTAGCTGATGTTCATGTATTCTGATGGCTAGTTTCCTTCCTATCTGTCCGATGTAATGTTTGTGGCAGTCGTTGCATGGTATTTTGTAAACCACGTTGGTTCTACATGTTGTGGGAATGGGGTCTTTAATCCTTGTGAGCGTTTGTTGTAGACTGGCTGTGGGCTTGTGGGCTACCATGATTCCTAGTGGTCTTAGGAGCCTTGTTGTCAGTTCTGATATGTTTTTGATGTAGGGCAGTGTGGCCAGTGTGTTAGGGCATACAGTGGCCTCCTGTTGCTGTCTGTTTAGTAGGTATCTACGGATGAAGTTGCGGGGATATCCATTCATAGCGAGGATTTTGTATAGGTGCTCTTCCTCTTTCCTACATTGTTCTGGAGTGTCCTAATGCAGCTTTCTTTGTGGATGTTGAGGTGGTTGCTGTGGAAGCTGAGATTTTGATCAGTGCGGGCTGCTTTTCTGTGTACTGAGGTTTGGAACTCCCTGTTGGTCATACGCTCAACTTTAACATCCAGAAACAGAAGTTGATTGTTGTTTTCTTCTAACCTTGTGAATTTAATCCCTGCAAATGAGCTGTTGATGAGGTGGTGGGTCTCTTCTAATTTGTTACGCTTAATAATGACAAATGTGTTGTCTACATATCAGATCCAGAGTTTAGGGTGAACGCGGGGGAAGAGTGGCGTGTTTTAGTCTTTACATGACTGCTTCTGCAATGAATCCTGAGATGGCTGACTCCATTAGTGTACTGTTGATCTGTTTGTATAATTGACCATTAAAGACAAAGTGTGTGGTGAGGCACAAGTCTAGTAGTTTAAGTATGTTGTCATTGCTGATGGAGCTGTGGTCTGTGTTGCTGCTTCCACTAGTAATGTGGCCACTGTTTCTTTGGCTAGTGGGATGTCGATTGACGTGAATAAAGCTATGACGTCAAAGGATACCATAATCGTGCCGTCACTGATTTTTTGCTCGAGGGTATTGAGGATTTCTCGGGTTGAGTGGATGGAATGGGATGATCTGTCGACTAGGTGTTTCAATCTCCGGTGTAGGTCCTTGGCCAGTTCGTGTGAAGGTGTGTCTGGTAGGGAAACAATGGGTCTGAGGGGGATGTCTGGTTTGTGTACTTTAGGAAGCCCATAGAAGCTGAGGGGGTGTTCGTGCCTTCTGGTTTCATTCTCATGCTATGACTGCTGCTAGAACTATTGATCTGAATGATACTCTGTATATGGTGGCTTACTAACTGGAAGTTGTGGGAATGAAAACGTTTTTAGTTGCGATACATCTCCCAAGCTGACAATCAGCAAAGTAACATCCAAGCAGTTAACAGCATATTTCATTATGGAAGGTCCTCCAATCCTTGTGAAGCCATATAATAACTCTAGCCGCTCCTATCTGACAAGAGAGAATGAATAAGTAAGTGATCTCATTTGTGCAATGGTGGATGGCAAACTGAAAAATGTTGCTAGTATTGACTGTTCGAATCAAGAAGTAGCCAAAAGCATAAAAATTATCTACAGTCATCTTCATAGCCATTCAAAATCCAATTCATATTCTGCTTTGATTCTTCATTTTATTGCTGTAGCAAGCGCCAACTTCAATTAGTACCTCTTTAGTGAATCACAGATGTCGGTGACAACTGTGCCTTGCTGAGGTTGGTAAGAGAAATATTCCCCATCCACCCTGGAAAGATATGGTTTTCTGCTGAAAGCACTTTTTTCCCTTCTCTTTTCCAGCTGCTACCCCTGTCATCCAGAACATAAGACATTAAGAAAGAGCAGCAGGGGAGTGCCATTCAGTCCTGCTTAATCATAAGCTGATTGATGGTGACTTCACCCCAATTATTATTTAAATAGAGAGATAGTTCAAAAAGATGCGGAACTGAGTTCTGGGTGTTTTTGCACATGAAACACAAAATGTTAGCATGCAAGAGCAGCAATAATTAAAAACACAGATATAATTTGGCCTTTGTTGTGAGGTGTTGGAGTCTAAAAAAAAGGGAAGTCCTGTTACAGTAGTACAGAATGTTGATGAGGTCACACCTGGACTACTGCATA